TCTCTGTTCCAGACCTGGCACACCTTTGCCTGAATGTAAGCTTCCTATCAACTACTGTACCTGTTGTTCAAATGAATTGAAAACTTTTCATCTTCAAAATAGAGTTAATCGCTTGCGAAAATACTTAAATGATAAACTCTTGCTGCTACGTATTGCCAGTAACCTGAAGAAGATTGTGAAATATCATATAAAACTCGTTCTCAAAGATTTCTCAAAGATTCCATGGGCCTCCTACTGAAACAAAGTCCCCACTTATATACGCATAACGTATCCGGCTACATTCTTCTTGCTCATTTAACCATACTATGAGCAAATTGTCTTCCCATGTTTTCCTTATGAATTCGAATCCGGCCACTCTGTAGCTGATACCTATAGAATGTTTCACAGTGCTTGTTCTTCATGAAAGAGCAGCATCACAATTTCTACTTTCACCTTGTCGTCTCCAAGGAAGGAAGTAGTTCGGAGCTCCTTATCTGTAGCTTACCCGATCGAGCGTTCAAACACGCTAGGCTAGTTGCATGGTTCAGGAACAGTGACATCCCTGCCACTGCTGAAAAACCAACCTGTACTTGATGTGTGTGTTAAGTGAGTGTGGTATGTGTGCAGTGTGTGTGATGTGTGGCTGTGGTGTATGTGATATATGTGTATGTGTCCGTATGTGTAGGTGTGTGTGTAATGTGTGTGTTGTATGTGTGTGGTGTATGTATAGGAATTTTTTGTGTGCTTGTGTCGATGTGCGTGTTGCTGTGTGTGTCGGTGTATAGAAGCGCAAGCATTTTTTATATGGTGAGGATGCTTGACGAGTCGGTTGTACTCCTCATCCATGTTGCCGATAACGTGTCTTCCCACAGACCCACAAGGAAAGCGAGGTGGTTCATGATCCCATGTAAAACTTTGGAGCAACAGCAACATCAATCAGGCAAAGCTTCCGATTGGAGTTGATATAATCTTTTCGTTTTTGAACTCTCTACCAGGTGGCTCTCAAGTCCATCACACATGAGAGCCATTCAGGATAAATCCCTGTTAAGAAGACACTTACCCGCATCAATGTAATTACAAGATAATGCTCTGTAAACTCTTCCAAATGTAATGGTACTCTTTTTCGCAAAAATGATTGTCCTTCTGATGGGACTTCTTAATCAAAGAAGAGCACGTATTTTTGAGAAAGCGATATTCATTCAAGTTGACTGCCAAACTGACTTTCCCTTTTCAAGTATCTTTACACAAAGATTTCGAGTATTGCCATGATCGGAAAATTCAAAGGATATAAAGGGATATGCACTAGTCAGGAATCTATACCCTGACTTGCTGTTGCATTCAGACTTTGTTCTGATGAGTTGGCTTCCCTATCCATTCGTCTAGCTTCGCTTGCCGTTGGTCGGCAGGGCACGTTGAATGACCACCGGATGGAGGCAGCATGCTCCAGCCATTCTGAACATACTGTTGAAGGAATAAATTTTTCTCGAGCTCTAGAAGCAGATGCAGCAATTTTGTGGGCTGTAGCTTGCATCAATAAAACCACCACCACTTCAAATTCTACTCTGCTACCATACACAGATCAATAACAAGGTCCTTCTCTCTTTAATAGGGAGGCGGAGATCAACGATATGAATTGAGAAAGTAGGAACGGAACGAGAAGAGGTTGTATTCGTTGTGACTAATTCGCTCGCTGTGACAGTAGAAGCTCAGATGCGTTGCCGTAACTCCCTTACTTTTTTAAATGAGCATGGACTTTAAACACGGTGAATAAATTAGAAAATCAAAAGAAAAAACGATAAGTGTCCGCCTCTGCTTCGCATTATGACTAAATACGGCTAACAGCAGGATCTCACCTCTGCTTGAAGACGACAGTCCTATGAACTCAGATAAATTCAGGACAGTTCGAATTATTGAAATTTCGCTGTCACTTTTTCAAGCGGAAACAGTCATTTCTTTCTTAATTCACACTCGGAAATGTCATTCTCTTGCCAGTCTTCGTTTTGTCTTCCATTTCGGTACACTTTCTGATTAACTCGATACGCAAATCACTCTCATTTACTAGTCCTTGAAGACAGACGAAAAGCTCATTTCACTCTTTCAGATGTCAAAACTTTGGCACACCGATATAGTCAGATGGGCATTCAATCATTTTTCTTCAAAGATCGCTCCAATATTGAACGTCCTTTCACTATTATTCAAGGACTACACTCGTTCGTAATAAAGGACGATTACGATGCAGGAACATCACGAATTCATGAAAGTTGTGAGGTAAGTTAAGCATTTAGGGAGCTTTATGAATTCGTAGATCAAAGTTATTTAAAGGCACAGTTCACAAAAGTTTTGGGCACCGTTTTTATTAGAAAAGCGGAAGTATAGATTGGGAATAGTTCATCGGTAGCGAAGAAAGCGAGAGAATTCGTCGATTTTGAGTAAAATGTGGCTCCTGAAAAACAAGGAAAATAGAGGTTGGACGAGATTGCAATGACGGAAATATCAGGGAAGTGGTATTTGGATGAGATTTCAGTTATTGCAATTGCACAAAGAGCTGACTACATTAAGGTGAAAATGTACAGAACAGCAGTTACGTGTAGCAGTTAGCAGCCTTTCATTGTTNTTAAATTCATCCTGTGATGGAATCTCAGAAACCATTTCTATAGTGAACTGTGCCTTTAATCAAAAGAATCATTCTGTGAGGCAACGAGCTAAAGGAGTAGACTCTATTCACCCCTTTCGGGTTGAAGAATTTCACAAATTGAGCCTTTAGTAATGGGGGCATGCAACTTGTTGTAGGAGAAGAAAAGTGTGAAAAGTTACTTCTCATCCCTTAAAACTGACTAGAATTTTTTTGGATTGAAAGATTCATCGCCAGTGATAAGCTTTGGCCACTTAAGCAATCACAAAAAATCTACAAACATACCATTTTCTGGATTTATTCCAGAGCTTGTATATATGCTTTCATTTCTATGATTGCATAATCCATTATCCACAGGGTCACAGTGATACTCCCTTTTGCCAGCCTTCACTAGCTGAGATGTAGTCTATGTACGTATGTGAGGCGAATTTTCAGAACAAAATCGGTGTACCCTTCGGGTTATAAAACTTTAAAGCATGAGGTGATTCGTTATCAGAAGAAACAGGCATGGAAAGAAGGGATGTATTCATTGTAAATTTCACGGGAGATTCGACATGTGAGGCAGTCGATCTTTGACAAGAATTAGGGAAATGGGAATAGGGAATTTGTTTTGGTAAATGAAGTGGCAGACATATGTTGTAAAAAAAATAAAGTCAAGGGACAAGAAGTTAAAGCGAAGGGGTTAGAGGTGATAGTGGAGCATTATTTGGGGGAGGGTGGGGACGTTCAAGGGAGGTATGAAATCGGAGTCAGTCAGATAGGTCGAAATAGACGCAGCGTGAAACTGTTCAAGGGAAGCAATGAGTGGTAGAAAGAAAATAGTAGTGATGTCTCAGCGGCAAAACATCGAATCATTACAAACCCCAATGCCAACTATTGGGTTGTCCGAAAAATTCCCTCCGATTTTTGATTCATCTTTGAATGAAAATTCCTAGAAGAAGGAGTCCATTGATTGAACAATATATCCTCCATTCTGTTCAGTAGGGAATCGTCATCTTCCTGTTGGTTCCAGTTCCCCTCTTCCATAGAAGGTTCCAGACTTAAAATCAAAAAGCTCTCTCTGGTGCTTTTTGCAGTCCTCCAGCGAATTGAACGATTTTCCATTCGAAGAATTTTGCAGAATTCCAAACAAGTTGTATTCTGATGGTGCTATGTCTGGACTATATGGGGGGTGTGGCAAGAAATCCCACCCGGGCTTTAGCAACTTTTGACGAGTGGCCAAAAATACGTGTGGTCTGGAGGTACCCTGTTGGGAGATTACGCCTCACAATTGACCACTTCGGGTCTCTTTTGGTCTATCGCTGCCTCCATATTTCCTAGCTAACTAAAGCACCTTTCGAAAGTCATCTTTTGATTGTGCGATAACAGCTCATGGTAACTGATTTCCCTGAAATCCCATCAGCAACTCGGCATAGTCATCCGCACCTGGATTTTGACTTTTGCAGCGGTTTGTGACGGCTCACAAGGGGCTCCACAATCGTTTCCGCTCCTCATTGCTGTACACAACCCGGTTTTCGTCCCTCGTGCTCATGCGTTTCAGAAACGGCTCATTTTTATTTCGTTCGAGCAACGAGTCGCACATGGAGGCGCGGTCCATCGCATTGCGCTCGCTCCTTTCGCGAGATAGCCAAACATCAAGGCGCTTTACAAAAACAAGTGTCTGCAGGTGACCATGGATGGTTTATTTCGAAACATTAAGCCCTTGTCCTACTCCACGAGCAGAGATGTGCCGATTTTCTTCGGTTAACATTTTGAGTTGGTCGTTTAAACTGATGATAGTCTCCTTAAGGGTTGCCGGTCTTCGAAGGTAAATTCACTCTGTTTGGATTCTGCAAACTAGTCATGCACTGTACGTTCCTCTAAGGCATGGTCTACTCAAAGGTCATATATCTCTCATGCGGCTTGAGCCGCATTCTAGGCCTTGCGGTAGATGAAATACTCCAGATGTCGGAAATGCGCGCAGTGGTTCTCCATTTTTATACGAGTACTGTACAGAGAAACTTCAACAACTGTTGACAAAATCCTTACAGTAATATAGAGGAGGATCTACTCTTTCAGAAAATATAAAACTTTATTAGGTTGGATCCTTGATCACTTGTACAACGGTTGATAAATCCGGGGTGTCAAAGATCGGCGGAAACTTTTCGGACAACCCAATAAAATGAAGGGGTTGGGGACGTCTTAACGCTATATTACTTCTACCCTACGCAGTGAGATATCTTCAGGTTACAGGAAAAATTGGAACAATAAGAAATAAAGTGTGAGACGAAAAGTGAAAATGTATTAGAGCATCGAAATATGGGTTGATTCTGTAGGACAGGAAAGGGATTAAATTCTAGTCCAACAACTCGAGTGTATGATATATTAAGACAGAAAACTGCTAGTTAAGGCGTTTCACCACGGATATGCGGCCACTCCCTATGACTTTTTCAATGTGAACGATTTTAAAGATCTCTTGAAAAAAGTATGTTATTTTTCTTCTTCAACCACATCGAAAACACTTCAACCAGATTTATTCTTGTTAAGGCGAAAGTCAATATCGTCTCTGTGCCGGGAAGAATGAAGTCACAAAACAAGTTGCCTAATCTCAAAGAGTGTTCCTCTCGAGACCCCAGATTCAAAGATCAACGGTCTCAGTTTCTTTTCGACCTTAAAAAAGACAAAAAAACGGTCATAGAGAAGGTTCGTTTGTTTCTTTCAAAGCCCTAATCCCTTCACACACCAGCCGAACTTCGCTGAAATTATTTGTCATTTGAATATGTCCCGTGTCGCAAATCAGAAGTTTCGGAAATTGATGGCCCTATTATCATTAAGGTGATAGGAAATAAAATTTTTTTGTGGGGTTCGCATATCTGCATTATATGGCTAGGGTTTTCATTTTTTTAGTGACCATTTTTTCATTTTTTTTAGTGGGAAATGTGACGTACCAATTTTTCGCATATGTTGCTGAATATCTATCTACGCAGTATTATATCAATGCTTTCTGCACAATTTCCGTTAATTTTACAAAAGAAGGCCACTTGAATCTGGCGTTGCTTCAGGACCTATTACTTTCCAATCTGTTTCATGTACGGTACATAAGAAAAGGGAATTGTTTTATTCGGGGAGGGTCCGTTCTGCGCAGAAACTATTTGATGATAACAAAAAGATCTTGCTATAGTCTGTAATAAATATCGTTTGCAATGGTCTTCTTCGCCAATATCTTCGAATAGTCCTGGTCTTTTATGCATAAGGTCCCGTACTTTGGAAAAATCCTTGAGTTAGGTAGACCTAAAAGCGCAAGTATTCGAAATGTCAGCACACACACATTGATGAAGTGAAACATGAAATGCTGAGATCGATAGTATATCGGTGTAATACCTTTCCATCATCCCACTTATCATAGTTTCTGTATAGCATCTATTACAAGTATGCCTTACATTAGTTGTTTGTAGTTTTATTAAGCGGTAGGAGAATATTCTTTCTAGATTACTGGGTTTATTTTTGCCTTGAACTCTTCACGAGGTTTGTAAACAAGCTTTATTGGGCTGTTCCGGCGGAATCGCCTCCTACAGAGCTTGAAAGGTTTATAACAATATGTGACTATCTGATCAAACGTCTCCACCATCCCACTAAAGTTCGTGACCCCATGGCATCGAAAGGAGAACCACTCACTGTAACTTTTTGGATTCTTCGAAACCACTCAGCAAGTGATGGTCTACCCGACCAGTGTCGGCTGGGGTACGTCCTCATTAAAATCTCTGCGGGAAGGCCAAAATTATGTAAGGCCGTGCCTCCCGCGTGATTGCGAGACAATTTCCCTACGATTCATTTTGGGATTGGTGACCTGTACAAAAAATGGCTCGACGATTTTACGCTCGTACAATTGCGACTCTTGTGCTGAGACCTCCACGTAATCTCAAAAACGCCTACGTTATGGTTTTGCATTCGGCGGCTTTCTAAGGCAGCAGACACTTTCAATCGCCTCATACCATCTATGTGCTACATGACCCTCACGTGGAGGGCTCTTGCAGTTTCTCCAATATACACGATAGCTCACCACCACAATCACGGCAAGTAATTTTGTAGACCACCCCACACATGTTACAATCACCTTCCCTCCCGGCTGAACAAACCACACAGCTTGAGGTTGTACATAGGCAATTGTATAGCCTGTTCGAACTAGGCGCTTCTTTAGATTGTAGGGTGGTACGTTTGAATAGCAACTGAATTTTTCAAACCCAATCCCTTTAGACGCTTTCTGATGGAAGCACTGACCTCATCAGAAATAAATAGTAGCACAAGAGGAATCTTCCCTCCCATTTAAGTACTACCAGTACTGTACTGTCTGAGGATCAAACCGCCAGCAGAAGCTCTTCGTGTAGTTGAAAAATTGTAGTAGCCATACGACCAAGCTATACCGCGTGCCATTTTGAGCGACTCTTTCAGCTCATCCTCCCCAATGCAGACCTTCCTAGCAGTGCGGAACAATCATATCGCCCCGTAGCTAACTTGAACGTTTGAGAAAGGAAGCCATTTTGCGGTCTCTTTTTCCCGTGATAACTTAATGTGCTATGTTTCTTAATTTAGTAGGCTGAGACGCACATCTACTTCGTCCTGTTTCGCACAGACTATGAAGCGATCATCGATGTATCTGCAGTAAGGTAAGGGCAGATATTCCAGCAGAGGCGCTTCAATTTTGGCCATAAGCGATATGGCCAAAACAGGCGCGAATCGCTGCCCCATAGCCAAGCCTCTAGTCTGTGCGAAATACCTTCCCAACCACTTGAAAATGTTACAACTGAGGCACTCCTTCACAAGTGCCATCAGTTGGGATATAAACAGCCCTCGCATACCAATGTCGTTTTGGTGCTGATTAAGGAGCCCGAATACAGATTCCATAGCAGACCCATTGCTGACATTTGTAGCTTCTACGTCAAAGGATTCTATAACGCACGAACCACTGGGGTGCAGCGCGGGAAGGCGATCCAAAAGCATTTGGATGTTAATGAGATGGGAAGAAATGAAGTTGGGAGCTGCACC